AGTTTTTATATTTACTTATTTATCTATTCTACCAACTGTTTTAGTTTTTATTACTAAGTTTTTAAAGCAGTTTACTTACTATATATAAAAAACTTTTAACCTTGTACTAAATTTATTAAAACCTTTTATTATCCCAATTTTTAGCTAACTCAAAATTTTGTTATAGCCAAGACTAACATTTATAGTTAGAATTTAACTATTAAACTGTTATTCTTTTATAAAGTTTATATAACTCTAATACTCTTTTTTACAATTTTATTAGTATCTTATATGTCTTTATAAGTTCTTTTATATTATTAATCTAGTTAGCTTTGTATAATATACTGTAACTTTATATTTAAATTAACTGGTTAGCCAAATTGGTAAACTCTTTAATCTAAAGGTTCTTATTTATACAAGTTATTTGTTTTAGATTTCTTTTTTTAGATCAGAAGTTTTATAAATAATATTATTAAAGATTATATTACTTTTTTATTCAGAATTTCTAAGTAGAGCTTCTTATTCAGTATATACTTTTTAAATTTATTTATATAATATTGCATATTTTTAAAGTAGACTTAATACAATTAGAATTACAAAATTATTATCTTAAATACTTTATTCAAGTTGCTAATATTTAGCTTCCTATTTAGTTATACTTTTTGGATTATTTATATAATATTATATACTTTTAAAGTTAGTCTTAATACAATTAAAATTATAAAGTTATGACTTCAGATATCTTATTCAAATTATTAGATTAGAATTATTTTTCAAAATTCTATTACTAATAAGATTTGAAATTTCAACTTATTGCTTAGAAAATAATAACTCTATTACTATATTAGAATTACTGTTCTTGATTATAATATTTTGATTTTGCAAATTTCAATATTATTTTACAATATAATAACAATTTGGAATTAACTTTTGTTAAATTATATTGTAATAAATAATATATATAATATATATAAAATTAAATATATATTGTAAAAGTGTAACAAATTAGTGAAGTAAACAAGTTGACACTTTTTTAAGTAGCAAATTGGAAGTTCAAATTTTATTAATATTAAAATTTTAAATTTTTATCTATATTATTACAACTGTTTCTAATAACTAGGTTAAGAAACTTGTAATAATAATTATATTATTATAATTAGCAGATTATAAGACATTTGTGTAACTAGTTATACAAAAAAATACAAACTGGCATTGGATAATACAAACATAAAATAAGTTCTTGTAACTATATAAATTTGTTAAAATTAAAAAACAAAAAGCTTATTTGTAAAGATTTAAGCAGAAAAATAATATAGATTTTTAATAATATTACTATAAAAGCTAAATTTAAGAAATAAATACTAATATAAAAAAGTCAAATAAACAAAAATCTCTAAATAAAGAGTATCACTAACCAGACTACTATAATTCTAACTAAAAGAATAAAAGAAAAAAGATATTAGACTGACTTAATATACTTATAAACTAATTGTAGTCCTATATAGACTATTTAAATTAGAAATTTAAAAACAAAAACAGAAGTATACTAAAGTACTAGAAATATATTATAAAGTAATACTAGGGTTTAAATAAACTTTGCAAAAGTATAATTCTGTTAAGATCTGTAAAATAAGTAAATAAATTAACAAAAAATCTTTATATCTTACTGTTAAATAACAGGCTTTATTATAGCCTAAATACTAGTACAAAAAAAAAAAATTAAACCTGAATAGTTCTTAATAGAAGGCAGCAATAAGGTTATTTAGCCTTAAAGTAAAATAGTTAAAGTTATACAAATACTAATTAGATAAGACAAAAAGTTTAAATAGAATACCTACAAGTAAAATTAAATATAGCAAATAGTAAATAACTTTAAAATAAATCTTTTAAATATACAATAACTAAAATTGTATATATAACTAGCTATACTCTTACAAACTATATATGTATTCAAAATATTACTAACTAATAAAATTACCAGTTTGGCTAAATGATTGATCATTTATTTAATAAAATATATATATATATATATATATATATTATATAAGCTCTTAATATCTTAAATAAAAAAATATAGATTCTATAACTTAGTAGTTAAGCTTTTATATTTTTATAGTCTAAGTTAATAGTTTAAATCTGATCAAAACCAAAATCAAAAAGATTTTAGTTTCTATAATTCAAAAAAAAGTTAGTAATTAAATACAAAATCTTGTAAACAAAATAAATACAATATATAACTAAAATATAAATTTCTAAGTATGAACATTACATGTATAAAAGAAATATAGAAAGTTCTAATATATAAAGAATTGTACAAGTAAGTCTTCTAGAAAATAAAATAAAATTATTATATTTATATCTGTTAGCAATTTAAATGAGTATCTAAGACCATAACTCTATAATTTTGATTATACTAAAGATTCTTTGAAAATATATCTTAAACAATATATAAATAAATTTAAATATATATATTTAAAAAAAACTAAAGAGGTGTGACAACCTAGTGAAGTAGTTAGGTTGTTAACCCCCAAGTGGCAAGTTCAAAGTTTAAATCTCAGTATCAACAGAAATTTGAAAATCCTTTTTGTGTTACAGTTAACTGTCTCTTGCAATTGGTTAAAATAAAACACTTATTATTTATATCGCACCAGCATGACTGGCAGGTCACATGGCATTTGTGTAACAGTCACATGACATTGTCCTTTGAGACAAGATCTGTGGTTATATAAAGGAATGCAAACTGGTACTGGGTGATGCAAATTTACAATAAGTTCTTGTGCCTATGTAAATCATAGGAACCAAAAGAAAGAAGATAGAAGCTCACTTGGAAGACCCGAATAGAAAGGTAACCCAAACTTTTGATAGTGCTACTGTAAAGACTAAATCTATAAAACAGAGCTAGAACTTGTAAAACTGAGCAAATATGCTAGTCTTTGAGAAGGGACTAGATAAACCAACCAGGCTGCTAGAATTACTGGATTTTAGAAAAAAATGGTACATGTTGGCAAATATATAAACTAAAGGTGTATGATTTCGATTTGCCTTTCTGGGTTATCTGGTTTGACAGCTTGATGAAACTTAAATTAAATACCAAAGTAGTAGAAATATGTTGTAAAGTCAGTACTAGAGTTGGTGTGAACTCTACAAGATCATAGTGGTTTAATAATACACCCTAATTGCCAGTGTTGATCTCGGCTATAGCAATACCAGGTCAGCTATAAGAATGGGATACAGAAGATTCTGAAAGATTTAGTACAAGGTCAAAGGTTCCCTATATGAATGAACTGCTTTAAAGACTTAATGACCATGCCATATTTTTATTAAAATTAGCCAGGATTATTGGTAGGCAGAAGTAGGTAAGTGGACATAGAAACAAAGTGGTTAAATAGGAAACCTACAAGCAGGTTCTAGGTATGGCAGCTAGTATAAAACCTTTGGATGGACTACTTAAATTAGACAATGACTAAAGTTATATGAGTAGCTAGTTGTACACTCTTTTTATGATTGCCTCCTGTGGTTGTAAAGCATCTATTAGCCAAATATACTATCAATAAAATTCTGGATTACAAGTACTCACCTTAATATTTAAAAAAAAAAAAACTAATAAAAAAAATTTAATAGAAAAAATGATACCAAGATAATATGAGCTAAAATGATAAGAAAAACAGTGCATACAAAGAAGATCTATAATAAAAGATTGATTGTTTTAAGATTAAAAATATCTCTAACATTGTAAAACATCTAAAAATATAAAATAACTATACTATATAGAAGATATAATCTGTTTTATATATATAAAAATGTCAAACCAAAACTTTTATCATATCTATATAGAAGTTTATAATAAAATAAAAAAACATACTAACATAATACTATACCAAACTAGGTTAAGATTTCTATAATTAAAAATAGTAAAAATATTATAATAACCAATAACTGAAAGAGATTACTCAAAATACAGTTTTAATTATATTATATAAAAAAGTAGTTAAAAGACAGATTAAATATATAATTTTTTAAAAACATACTAAGACTAAAAAAAAATTACAAACCAGCAGCAACAGCAGTACTAGTATCTTAATTAGGAAATAAAAAATAACAGCAAGACCTTGACTTGAGATATATGCTAAAAAGATCTCTTCAAGTACACCAAAAATAGTAATTCAAAAAAAAAAACCTGATAAGAGTTATTAAAATAGATTATAAGATATAGGAGAAATATGCAGGTTACTTGATATAATTAAATGTAAAGCAAAAATCTAAGTTAGGTGTAAGTGAGATACAATACAGAACTCTGATAGGTTTAGGTCACAGATAAATATGTTTGAATCTCAATTTTAATATAAATATATAGAGTAATAAATAATGTATAATATAAAAAGTTGTACAAATTATAACAATATGTACTAAATAATGACTAAAGACATGACCTCACCTTAACGTCAAAAATACTTCAAGTGAATATTACCTCCTTTAATATGACCTGAAAAAAAAACTATTTTATCTTTCTTGCTATTTATTTTCATGCTTAATCCTTTTTTTTTTTTATAAACAAATGTTATACATGTACATAACTCCTAGCTTATACTTTAGTGCTAGGTTCTTAGTTTTGAAGCCACTATAATAAGATTATACAGCTACACGTGACCAAGCTACTTTTACCAGCTACCCCAGTAAGGCCATCCCTAAATTAGACGTAGCGTGAAAATCACACATTTTGTAAAAAAAACTATCGATGACTCAAAGTTTTTACTATAAAATCGCATTCTGCTCTCTAATAAAAAAATTTTCTTGCGAAGTTTTGGTGTAGAAGATATTCTATTACAATCTCTGCCATAGCTCTAATGTAAAAAACTATTACGCATAGTAAAATTTATTTTAATTATTCGAAGAGATCTGATTGATGCACCCGTGACGATCCTTCATGGTCTTACTGGGGTAGCCAATGTTACCGGTTTTTCAGGCATTATTATGAAACCCAAACCCAGCCCAGGATTTATTAAGTCAGACCCAAGCCAGGTCTAAGTAACAACAGGCTTAAAATTATAGGCCCATACTAGGCCCAAGCCGGTCCAACCCAAAAATTTACGTTTTTAGCCAGGCCCATTCCGGACACTAGGCGCAGTAAATGCCATTTATACTATGTATAGTTTTAGCCCTGGCTAATAGCAGTGGCATTTTTCTCCCATGACCCGCAAATTTGAAGGCCACCCTGGTCAAGGTGCTTATTCTATTGAGGTTTTTGGATTTCCCGCCGTACGTACGTACAATTATAAATATACGGCATCGGTATAATTCATTAACATTCTTATTTTTTAAAAAATGGCTTAACGGTAGAACAATCAGTAAAAGTTATTACTCAGGTCACCAATGCTTCTTTTAATCAAACTGGATAGTCAAAAGTTAGCTGATAAAATGATCCAGGTAGTATATTCTGGCTTGGTTATTGTTACGAACATGGAATTGGAGTGGAAAAGAATGAAAAAAGGCATTCATTAATTATCAAAAATCGGCAGAGACGGAAAATCCGAACGGAATGTATCAAGTTGGATATTGTTATTATTTAGGAATTGGAGTTGAAAAAGATAAAACAAAGGCATTTACACATTATCTGAAGTCAGCTGAAGCGGATAATTCCATGTGGATTCGTAAGACTGTCATTTTGTTACTATTACGGAATTGGCATAGAAAGAAAATTTAAAAAATACAAGCTATTTTTGAAATTTATTATTTTAAAGATTAAGAATATTTTCATACAATTTAATAATTCAATTTTAATTATAAGGAAGTATAAAAAGGTCTATTAATTACGATTAGCTAATTAAGTTTATAAATATTAATTATTTTTGTTACCTTAGGCCGTAAGTATAAAAAACCTTTATTAATTATTAGAATTAAAAAACAGCAAAGCAAGTTCACAAATCAAGAACATAAATACTTATTTATCATTACTATTATGCAATACCCTTCAAATCATTTTATTCGCATCAATTTAGTCGATAAGTAGAAAATTATTTAAAATTGATGTAAAGTTTAAAGTAGATGAAGTAAATCCTATATTATTATTGTGATTATAAAGTAACTCTAAATATGGTAAATGTGCGCATTGTAATGAAGATAACACGAATGAAGCATGGTGTCTATCATGCGATCCTGACATAGAAACAACAAAGTGGACAAGTAGAAATAAAGATATTGACAATTGTATAAAAAAGTTCCAACTTAGAACTTTTGCATATGAAAATTCAATCAAATAGATTCCATTTGATAGATTATCTGATATTAACAAAATTGGCAAAGGAGGATTTGGCTCTGTATATTGGCAACCTTGGTTGGATAGTATACGAAAAGTTGAAGAAAATAAAAGATCACGTGAAGCATCCAGCATCGTTGCACTCAAAACCTTGTCTGGTTCTTTAAAAGAAGTATGCTAAATCTATTATTTAGTAATTAATTAAAGAAGCAACGAAATAATTCATTTAAATCATTTGATTTATTTATTTAATGAGGTTACGTATGCAAGTAAGTTGAATTACAATACATGTACTTACTGGTTGCATTTGAAAAAGTGTACCTCACAACAAGCGGAGACATATTCGTTGTTACTATTTCTGTAAGTAATGTTCCGCTACGAAGAGGTGAGTGTATTGTGGTCATTGAGGGAAAATTTTTCAATAAGACATTTTGAAGTTCATTAAACTCTTCTTTGAGAACGAGCGTAAGTCGGTCCAAATTAAGACTACGGTCTTTGTAATTCGTTTGGTTAAGGTCAACTTGCACTGCTCTATTTTTCCCTTCAAATAAGGTCCACATGATTATTATAGAATTTGGGGGCTGACTAGCATTAGTCATGTTTAATAATCGCAAAATTTATTAAATAAACAGCCATTCAACGAAAATTAACAAAAATATAAAAACGATTTTTTTTTCTTTGTGCACAATACGTAGGTATTTATAAAATTGAACAATGTGTGATGATGTTTGTATTACAACCATTGCATAATTACATTTTTTGATGAAAAAGTCAAATCTTTTGAAGAGGTGCGACATTTGATGTCACAGTAAGTTCTGCTTAAACTACCGATACGTATCATTATCATTATCGCTATCATTATCATTATTACTGTATTATCAAAATGCTAATTCTGATTTAAAATTATTGCATTCACATTGCCTATTTGCTACTTTTTTTGCATGCTTTGCAATATAGGTGTGAATGATGATTACATTCATCGCAAACCTTACATCCATGCTTCCATGGATGATTGGTCCCCTAATTAAACATTGACCAATAATTACAATTAAGCCAATTTTCTGATGCGAATGTATTGTTATACGAATGAATATAACTTTTCAATAAGAATTTACCATACAAAAGTGATGGATTTTTGAAATCTAAATCATCTTGCGATATTAATTCTTTGAACCTAAGAATAACAAAATAGATGCTTTTTAATTTGTCGTGAAGGTTTTTCTTGCATTTAAAATTTTTTCAAAATTTTATAAATATTAATATTTTATAAAGATTTATATAATCTAAAGTTTATAAAATATTAAAATTTTAAATGCAAAAAGAAAAATCCCCACGAAAAATTAAAAAGTTTGCTTTTTTAATCTGTTTTATGTTACGTATTCATAAGTTCTAAGAATTAATACGTACCACGAAAGGATTTAGATTTAAAAATCCATCACTTTTGCATAATAAATTCCTATTGAAAAGTGAAATTCATTTGTATACGTAACAATACATTCGTATCAAAAATTGGCCTAATTGCTTAATATGGGTCTACATATAGGTTTGATTTAATTAGTTGACCAACCACTCTAATGCTTCCATCCTCTCCGCCAATTCATTATATTCATTGTCGGGATAAATATATATTAAAATAAAATGGATTACTATATTAATCTAGATACGAGCATATACGTATGCGAGTGGATAGGAGATATGCCACTTTTCAAAGTAATTTTACCTTTTCTATTCGTAAGTGTATTACGTACGTATTCCATTTTTTTCATTTTTATATTACCAAAAAAAATATATACGTAGCTAAAATTTTTTTTATCATATTTACAAACCTGCCTGTGCCCTGTCTCACAAATAAATTATGCGTGCAGAATTTCTGGCGTATACTTATTTCTGCAAGTGATACAAGCCAAAAGGAAATTTTCTATGTAGATCGCAAAATCAGGTGCAATCTTCGTGTAACGTGAGATCGAAGGCTTTTTCAAAACATCGCCTAATAAAAAAATTTCTAATCAAATTTTACTACACAACCTTCTTTATATTAACCTTTAACTTCAGTTCTAACACTGATCAAATCTCACATGCTTTAGGGTAGGCTTTCCGCACCTGATGTTACACATATATATATTATAGATGTCGATCTTTTTAGATTCAGATAATCGTTTATTGTTGGTTAAATTTATAATAACGAGTGTTTTACCAACGCTTATTAATTTTTTATTATTTGGTTAGTTTGTTTTATTTGTTTTAGTAAGTTTTTGTTAGTTTAAAACCACTAGTTATTAAATTTACTTTAGTTTAAGTAATACTTGCCCATTCCGTATTAAAACTGTTCATTCCTGTCTTTAATAATTTTTTTTTTAATAAAATTTTTATTTTAAGATATTTTATGATATTTGACAATAGTGTTAGTTAAAATTATAATATGGTAAGAGTAAAATTTAATTATTTAATATTAGTTTCTTAGAAATATCAAATTTTTTATGGTTTTTATATATAATCTATTTTTAGATTTTAATGTTTATTTAATATCTACATTTAAGACAGATTGTGATTGGAGTATATGACTTGTAGAAATAAATTCTCAATGAAAAAAATATGAAAGACCAAAAAGAATTATATTTGTTAGTGAACAAGCACAATTTTTATCATTATTACTTGAATATGCTTCTATTTCTTTAGATCTTAATAATAAACAATTATTATATTAGTTATTAAGTGTTAAAGATATACCAAAAAAAAAACAATAAAGTTTGGGTTTCTTTAATTCCTGAATATACAATATTTACATTTTTTGCTAGGGCATACTTTTGACTAAATCTTGGATAGTGTTATGCCAAACAAGAAATTTTATTTTAATAGACTAATTTTGGTGAAGATTTATTTTTTGCTAAATCTTAAACTTATGAATCATATCTAGATAAGTTTTCAAGTTTTTATAAATAAATTAGAAAAATATAATTATACTGGCAAAATATTTGTTCCATATTTGTTAGAACTTACTTGTACTGAAAATGTTATATGGTTATGTAGTTTTATAGCTAATTATTATAGTATATTCAAGAATACTAGAGCATTTTTTCTTGCAAATAAAAAATTAAATAATATAATAAAATCAGAAAAAAGAAAAGTTGATGAAATTAATAAAGAGTTAGTGAATAATTCTAATTTAATTATTTTTAAAGCTGGATTACCAATAACTTTTAAAGAATTAAATATTGATAATCATATTGTTCAAGCATTTACATTTCAATTAGAAGAATCTAGTATTAAATTAAAAAATATAAGAAAAAAATTGCATGAGTCTCTTGAAACAATAGATAAACTTTACAAACAGCTTAAAAAAATTTCAAATTCAAGATATATATATAATAATTTAATAATTTATTAAAACTATACTAATAGTTTGTTAATATTAATTTAAAGCAATAATGAAAATACTAATAATTCAATAAATTCAGAATCTTTATCATGTATATTTGAAGAACTTATTAGTAAAGGAAAACTTGGTTCATTAATTTTAGTTAGTATGAAAGTTTATCTTGAATTAATATTAAACAAATCATGTTCTGTATATAGTAATAAAAATATTATATATCATAAATGTACAATTCAAGTATCTGGATTAAGTATACATATTACTATTATATGTTTTAATTGTAGAACTTAAACTAATTATTATAATAAAGCTAATGACATCAATTTTTCAAGAGTAATTTTAGCTGCAGAGTTAGTTAGTAGTATAAATAGAGAAGAAATTAAAACAATATTTTCATTTATTAGAGTAATATGTCAAAGTAGTATAAAGCAATATTTTCAATACCAAGATCTTTTTTTAAATAAATTAATTAAAACTGCCAATAAAAATACTAAATAAAATTTGTATAAAATATGTAAGCTAATTCAATCACAGAATAAACATATACTTGAAGTTTCTTTTGATTATTCATAGAGCCATGTTTGTGAGGCAATGCAAGCAAGTAGTGAATTTGTATTTAATAGTAAAATTGCAGATAAATTATTTATTTTTTTAATAGTGCTTCATAAGATTTAATCAAAGTTTAAGCTTCAAATCATATATTTAATCAAGTTAAATTTGATCAAATATTTGATTAAATCAAATTTAATCAAATATTCTTACTTGACTAGGTCTCAGGCCTGGGCATTGCTCTGAGGCTAGATCTTAAGTATTTTTAATCTCAGATTTTGTAATTATTTAGTTAAAAATAATATAATATTTAATTTATAATTTTTTAGCTCTTAGTTT